CAAATATTTACAAGGTATATTATTTTAATTATATAGGGTGTTTGTAAATAAGTGCGAAATATTTTAGGGGATGGTTGCCGAAGTTATTTTGTGAAAAAAAGTTCATATAAACGTAGGTTTAAATATGCTTCGTTTCCGAGATACAGTGTTTAAATTTTATTTTTTTATTTATTTTTATTAATTTTTTCAAAAAATTTTAAAGAAACTCGAAATTTGATGGTTATATTTTATTTTGAAATATTGACAGCAACCTACTTGATAATGTATCAATAGAAATTAAAAATACACAACTACGGCAAGCACCCCCTAAAATATTTCGCACTTATTTACAAACACCCTGTATAACTTTTAAATTATCTTAATTACAAGCAAGATCTGTCTGAATTACATTGAGAATAATTCATAGAAGAAAATTGTGTGGTATTTTTTTTACAACATTAATCTCTACTTAAGATATAAAATTAAAATTATATTAACTATTAGACACATAATAATTTATTCTTTAAAGAATTAAAAATAAAATTTATAAAATTCTTTATTTATTTTGAGGTTGAAACTGTGGGTGACAAATACATGGCTGTAAGTGGTATTCCTGAACCATGTATAACACATGCCAGAAATATTGCCCGTTTGGCATTAGATATGATGGACAGAAGTAGGAGCGTTATATTCGATGGTGAATTTGTGGTATGTAATAAAATGATGTCCTCTGTAGTTCATATCAGCATAAGTAAAATCATGCGAAATGTTCTTACTAAAATTTTTTCCAAAGTTTATGGAAATATACATACTAGTAGGTTAGGTATAAGAAAAGCTGCCAACTCATTTTACAAATCTATTAAAAAATTTGCATAAAATTTATTTTATGCCCCTATACCTAAACTCTATAAAAACATACATTGACGGCCCTAGATCTTGATAAGGGAAGAGCGAGATTGTCTTTAGGCGCCCTTTAGTCGACAATCGTTGTCGCCGTCGACAATGTGAAATCTCACATCACATAAATTATATTTCAATTTATGTTAAATAATTATCAATTTTTTCAAAAATCAACTTTTATTACAAAAATCAACACTTGATTGAAATGAATTGAATTTAACAACGCAAGTGTGCCCCACCTGCGCGGTGGGGGCTGCGTTCCCACATGCCTCTCAAACGGCGCCATCAAAATGTTATTTTTCGCTCGGAATTATATATTTTCACGTCATCGGCATAAAGAAGAAAATTTTCATCGATGTTGTTAACTAAATCATTAATAAACATAATAAATAGTAAAGGACCAAGAATTAATCTCTCCAGGAACTCCAGTGATGGCGCCGCAAAGCCCGAGTGTATACGTGTGTAGAGCTTGCTCTCTACAGATTCGTACCAACGCTTATAAAATACAGTGTAAAGAGTGTAAATATTGGTTCCATAGGGACTGTGCGAACCTAAGCATAGATGACATTCAACACTACCTCAAAGATGATAAGCTTAAGTGGGTATGTAATACATGTCATATTTTAAATAAATCAGAACAAAGTGAACCCACAGAACTATCCACAACAGCTGTTAGCTTATCAGCAGATTATCTGGCGCAAGAAAACAAACATTTAAAGAGACTATTGAAAGAAGTTGAAGAAAAAAATGCATTGCTGATCGAAAACAAAAAACTATTAGAGCAAAGAATTTCCGATTTGGAAACAAAACATGTGAGTGGTACAGTTACTACTACTATGAATAAACCTAAGAGCAGTTCTCCTGTGAAACTCGCAATTACAAATACAAATAGACAGCCTAGCAGTATCAACATCAATCCAGTAGAGGTTGGTGGGGAGCCTTCAAAGTCACAAGTTTCGCTAGCTAACACATCAAACAATACATTAGTGCCACCATCTAATTCAGCTCATGGTACAGATACAGGGTGTAAAACTATAAGACGAAAGCACAGAAATGTGTTAATTGGTACTGGTAACAGCGGTGACTCAAGTAGGGATAGTACAGTATTTTCAGGTAATGAAAATAACAATAAGAAAGTGTGGCTTTTCTTATCAAAAGTCAAAGATGTTGNTTATTAGTTCCGACCGATAAAATTGTTGAACAAGAATGAACAAAGAGAAGTAAAGCGACCAATGACATAAGATAGTTGTTTATGTTATAGATACCTAAAACAGTTACAATTTTTACAATATTTTGTCTTCTGATAGCTAATGAAAATTTATTTCTGAATAATATTATGAAATGTTAAAACCCAATATACAGTGTAGGAAAGTACCGATGGTCTATCAGAAGTTACGTGAGAGCGATAAAGTAAGCCATAGAAATCCATGTGATAGACAAGGATGGCTATAATGAAGGCGTCTAATAGTCAATGCCTATTTCGCCCTTCCACAAATAAGAAATGGAGCTTATTTGTGGAAGGGCGAAACGGGCGGTGTCTATGAGACGCCTTCATTATAGCCATCCTTCTCTATCGCATGGATTTCTATGGCTTACTTTATCGCTCTCACGTAACTTCAGATAGACCATCGGTACTTTCCTACCCTGTATGTACGAAGTATGTTTAGAAAATAACCGAACTTTATTTTTTTAAACTTTATTATTAGTTTTATACATTATTGGTGCTTGTCTCCTTCCCTATTCACACACTATTCCAGGCGGTGTTTCCACTTCGTGAAGCTGTCAAGGATAGCTTCATTTGAAACGGCCTTTGCAGTATGTGACGAATTTCTTTTGATGTCATGAATAGTCTGAAAACTGCGTTCTTTTGGCACTGATTTTAATTTCGGAAAAAGAAAAAATCACAAGGAGTCTGAGCTGGCGAATAAGGAGGGTGAGGGAGGAAGTAATCTGATTTTTGGCACAAAATTGACGAGGTGACAAAGCTGAGTGTGCGGGCACATTGCCATGGTGCAGGAACCATGAGTTGTCTCGCCACAACTATAGTCTTTTTTTTTCACATAAAACGCCTTGATAGTACACATGGTTCACTGTTTCACCTTGAGACAAGAATTCAAATAGACAGTGAGCACACTTTGATTTTGGATCGAGACTGACGTGCTTTCTTGTAATGTGGAGATCCTTTGCCAATCCATTGTGATGATTAAACTTTTATCTCAATGTCGTAGCCGTAAACCCAGCTTTCGTCTCCCGTTATGATCCTTTGAATGAATGTTTTATAGTCATTGGATTAAGAAGTTGCCGACAAACGTCCATACGATTTTTTTTCTGTTGTTCGGTCATCAAACGAGGAATAAATTTGCTGCAACTTGATGCATGTTTAATTTTTCAGTAAAAATTTCATGGTATTACTCAATTGAGATACTAAACTCTTCAGCAATTTCTCTGGTAATCATTTCGATTTGCATCAGTTGAAGTCCAGGACCTTCCTGGTCGAGGATCATCTTTAATTGACTAACGACCACTTTTAAATCGTGAAAGTCATTCGTAACATTGCGTATGAGCCAGAGCATCATCTCCGTAAGCTTATTTCAAATGTTGAAAATTTTATGCTGCATGATTGTTCCAGAAAATCGCACATTAAAAAAATCGTTACTAACACTTAAACACATTGCACTCAAATAATATCATGAAAACTAAATGAGATATTAACAATCCAAAAACATGTGGTTGCATAGATTATGCGCAAATTCAAAAAGTTATAGAAATAAATCGGAAACATTTTAAGAACTGGGTACAATTTATCAAAGATCTGCAGATTGCAGCATCGAGACAAAACATCTGAATATGGTTCAGGCTGAGGCAGTACAGTATTGGGGGTCATGAAGGCTTGCAAAAAATGTAATAAAATTTCCAGGGTCTTATTTAAAAAAATTGATGATGACCCTGGAGAGACGAAACGTTACATACAAAAATTGATTATGCCATTCGATAAAGGGTAAAAAGTGGCCATGAGAAAGTGTTCTTCTTTTTTCAATATCACCTCAAACAAGGCTGAAATTAAAAAAAACAAATCATGTTAGCCTTGATTTTTTAGAGGCATAATGTTGGCGCCCTGATTACGCAACTTTGCCCCTATTTAAGCTACTTCGTACCTCTTACCGTTTTCGAGATCCCTGTAGTGAGAAGCGAATTTGTAACAGCCTGCATACTTGATTCTAAGGGGTACAGTCAGCGACTGTCTTTAAAACTCTTACTTCGTATTTAAAAGTTGAAAGTATAGGACAACATAGAATATGAAAAAAGCACTGCTTGAAAGATGATTTCCTGTCATGTAGTTTTAACTTTTAAATATAAAATACAAGCTTAAAAAATATATATAAAACAAGAGACAGAATTAGTAAAAACAATATTTCCAATTATTCTAGAATTCATAATTCTTTAAAATAATAGTTTGCATTTTTTCACTGATAGGGTTTACCACCAATTTTTGTTTTAATTGATCAGTAAAATGTTCAAGACAATTTATGGCAATTTCAATTTTCACAATTTATCAAAGTGCATGTAAAAGTTAACTTATCAAATTGTTTGTAAAATTGTACTACCAATTTTCTCCAAAACGGTATACAATTTCTATATCAGATAAGCATTTTAGTGTCAATCAGAAAAATATATATATATATATTTTAATTTTGGGGTCATTTTTTAAAAGACCTTACCGAATTATCATAAATTAATTTTAGGGTTATTAAAATATATTTACGTTTTCGGCGGTATACCTTTACCACTCCATATCTTCCAACTACTTTTTTACATTTCGGATCCATGTACATAGTAATTTTAGCTAAATTTATTTTCTGCATCAATTTGGTGCTATTTTGGCATATAATAACACTTTGTATATGTTACGGGCAAACCCGATTTTAGGACAAACTAGTTTCTCCTAGGCCAAACCAGTTCATCCTTTATGCGATAGGAAAAACCGGTACAGACTAGGCTAAACAGGTCCGTCCTATGGCCGATAGGAGAAACTAGTTTAACCTAGTCTATTGTAATAGGGAATAATAAAACACCAGAACTAATAAAATCATTATGCATTTATTAATTAAATAACATCAATTTTACTTATTTTTGCAGGGTGTACTCTGATGACATTTGGAATTGCAGAGCACCTGTTTTTTCTTGCAATTGCACCTGTTTGCCAAACATTTCTTTACGCAGCTGTACCTTACAAAACCTAGCCCTGATCCAACCGAATGTTTAGTGGCTGCAGTCCTCAGAGATATTTCAATATCTTGGTTAACATCGCCCACCTCTAAAAATTTCTGAATGCAAATGTCGAATTCAGTTCTGAAAAAAAAACAAGTCAAAAGTAATATAAACTTATCAGAAAAAATTAACAATCTAGTGAGTAAAAAATACTTGTAAAGTACCTGCAATATAATTTTTGCAATACACCATGTTTGGTGCCAACTTTGTAAAGGCCCTCATCATTTCTCTGAAGAATTACCCCAATGATGTTTCTGAGGTCACCTCTGCCTTTGTCTACGTCTGGTATTGGTATAGTAATATGTCTCCAATGTAGGCAGGTGGATGGGACTTGTCCGAAGAGGCTTTAATTTTTTTTGCTTGCTTTTCAAGATTTTCTGCCGCCGCTTTTCTAGCTTCTTGAATGTTCTGTGTGTCAATTTCCATAACACCACCATTACCATCTTCATTCTGGTTACAATTCGAATTATCTTCGATAACTTTTCTAAGGTCGTCCTCATCCTGAATGTCATTTATTATTTCTTGCGGTAACGATGAAGTCTAAAGCCCTACTCTAGGCTCAATCCCAAATAAGGCCTTGTAAGGCGATTGTTTTATTCCTGAGTGGAAGGCGGGGTTTTTCATGAACTGGACATATCTTAAGCCCTCCGACCATTTCGTTGAATCGTTGTCCTTCAACCAAGAACTTATCATGTTCTCTATATCTTGATTAGCACGTTCAACTGAACCCTGACTTTGACTGTGCCTTGGTTTTCCATGCACAATTTTAAGTTCTGGCCAAAGAGAAGCGAGCTCACTAATCACATTATTAACAAATTCTCTACCATTGTCAGATTGGAGAATGCACGGCGCTCCTATAGTTAAAAATATATCATTCAGGTTGTAGGTCACTTCTGCTGCTCTCTTAGATGTTAACGCACGCAGAAGAACAAATTTTGTTAAATGGTCCTGGTAAACCATAATAAATTTAAATTGTTCATCTGGTTGTGTCTGAAAATCGATCAAATCCACTTGACATCTGCTATTCATTTCAGAGTGAAGAATAGGCTTTGAAACTAATCCCCTCTTCTTTTTTGTCTTCTTTTGTTGACACACATCACACATTGATAAATAGAGGCTTATCATTTCTTTTGTGATTTTAGCATATTTTTTTGATGTCTCGGCTAACATCCTGTCATGTCCGCCGTGTCCAACCGCCACATGAGCTGCATCAATCACATCATAAAGCTCATCAGCCTGTAGATAGTATTTTATATTTCCTTCCCCCGCGCTATACGTTTTGTCACATCTCCAATTTTTAGCACACCAAACCGTTTTAGTCGTCTTTGTTGTAATGGTGTCCTTTTTGCCGACTTTTCAGCGTCTTCCACTTGTTCAATCAGTTCCGAATATTTATCTGATGACAACACATTATAATGAGAAGAGTTTTTAATTTCACTTTCCAAAATTTCTGTTAAAAACTTTTCTCTCCACTGTTTTTGATCGGCTTGTCTACTAGATGTAAAAGGCTCATCCATGATAACACAAAACAAAACCGTATAATGTTATATTCTTTTACTAATATTTATAACAATAACACGTAACAACTAACACGTCCTCAATTCAAAGCACAATGAGCGTTTAAAATCAACAAGCGGGGGGCAAGTGAGGATGCGGCGGGAGCGCAGGGCATGAGAAATACGATCGGGGGTTTTCCCGCATGCACAGGTCTCGATACGTACTCGCTTAAACATTTTTGGCTAGGCAAAATTAGAATAGACTAGGCCAAACCTGTTTATTCTGAAGTGTACTTATTTATATTAGGCTCAACCAGTTCAGCCTAGGTTAAACTAGTTTCTCCTATCGGCCATAGGACGGACCAATTTAGCCTAGTCTGTACCGGTTTTTCCTATCGCATAAAGGATGAACTGGTTTGGCCTAGGAGAAATTAGTTTGTCCTAAAATCGGGTTTGGCCGGTAACATATATA